CTGAGGCAGGAGACTCGCTTGAGCCCAGGAGTTGGAGGTTGCTGTGAGCGTGATGCCATGGCACTCTACCCAGGGGGATAGCTTGAGGCTCCCTCCCAAAAAAAAAAAAAAAAAAGAAAGAAAGAAACAAAGGAGGCCCTCCACAGCACAGATCCAGTCCAAGCCAAGAGCTGAGGGGCCTGATTTAGACGTAGACTCTAAATCCTAACCTACCTCTTCCCCTTGTCATCTCAGATGATCATTTGAACCACCTATTGGAAGAATGGGTGTTTCCTACCTACTCCTGGCTTCATGGTTAACCTCCAGAAAGATGCAACAATCAAAACTGTATGCTCGGCCAGGCTCAGTGGCTCACACCTATAATCCTAGCACTTTGGGAGGCCAACGCAGGCGGACTGCCTGAACTCACAGGTAATCAAGACCAGCTTGAGCCAGAGTAAGACCTCTTCTCTATAAACAGTCAGGCATTGTGATGGGCACCTGTAATCCCAGCAACTTGGGAGGCTGAGGCAAGAAAATCACTTGAGTCAAGAGTTTGAGGTTGCTGTAAACAGTGACACCATGGCACTGTACCAAGGGTGACCAAGTGAGACTCTGTCTCACAAAAAAAAAAAAAAAAAAACCAACTATATGCTCCCCTGGGCTTGTCTGTCCCTCCCACTCTGGGTCACACCATGATAGGGGCACAAATGGCTGTAACAGTTAAAAATAAAACCAAAGGGCGGTGCCTGTGGCTCATGTGGAGGACACCGGTCCCATATACCAAGGGTGGCAGGTTCGAACCCGGCCCCTGCCAGCTAAAACAGCAGTGACAACTGTAACAAAAATAGTCAGGCGTTGTAGCAGGCGCCTGTAGTCCCAGCTACTCGGGAGGCTGAGGCAAGAGAATCGCCTAAGCCCAATAGTTGGAGGTTGCTGTGAGCTGTGACTCCATGGCACTCTACCGAGGGCAACAAATGAGACTCTGTCTCAAAAAAACAAAACAAAACAAAAACTGTACCCTCCTCAAATAGGCCAACCTAGACTAATTCATTTGGCAGGTAAAAACAATAGTTCTAGGACTGATATGAACTTTAAAGGATCTTTCACTGATTAGACCATTGCTCTTATTCTACTCAAACACCCAGAATGTGATTATAAAGATGTATGAAGGTACCTAGTAACGATGCTAATGTTGTCCCTTTGGTCCATCTGAGAATCTTCCTGCCTTCTCCTAGGTTTTGTGAAAACTGTACCCCCGCAGGAAGTAATGCTGCCTGAATACACACCATGTAGGATGACATCGCTGTGAGGAGCATGAGGTCCCACTAGAGGAGTGTGCTCCTCACTGCCTCGTGGCTTCGGGCGACGCAGCCTCGCTTCTGGATTTGGCTGTACCATGAGTGGCTCAAGGCGCTTTTTCCTTTGCTTCTTCTCCAGGAGTGCTCTCTGGAAGGAAAATGTGGTATAGTCAGGAGAGTTATGAGAAGTCATAGCTACTTTGAATATTTATAATTTATTTTTCAGTGATGCTTATACAGCCTCCTGTAAATTAATTATTTTCCCATTTAAGAAATGGGAAAACTGGCCAGGTATGGTAGGAGGATGAGCTGGGAGGAGCCCTTGAGCTCAGGAGTTTGACACAGCCTGAGCAAGAACAAGACCCCATCTCTGCTAAAAATAGAAAAAAATATAGCCAGGCATCATGGCAGGCACCTGTAGTCCCAGCTACTCAGGAGGCTGAGGCAGAAGGATCCCTTGAATCCAGGAGTCTAAGGTAGCTGAGAGCTAGAATGACACCATACACTCTAGCCTGGGCAACAGATTGAGACAAAAAAGAAAGAAATGGGAGGGTGGCGCCTGTGGCTCAAAGGGGTAGGGTGCTGGCCCCATATGCTGGAGTTGGTGGCTCAAACCCAGCCCCAGCCAAAAACTGCAAAAAAAAGAAAGAAATGGGAAAACTGAGGCACAAAGATAAGCAAGGATTCATTCACTTCACTTAACAAATGTTTACTGAACACCTATAAAGAAATAATTAAAGTCACACAATGCATTTCTAGCCAAGCTGAGGCTCTGATTCAAGCCTATTGAAAATATATGGTAATTATCATGTTTTAAAAAATTTTTTCATTAGATCATAACTGTATATTACTGCATTTATGGGGTACAATGTGCTGACTCTATATACAATCTAGAATGTTTACATCTTTTTTATTTTTTTTGAGGCAGTCTTACTATGTCACCCTCAGTAGAGTACCATGGCATCACAGCTCACAGCAACCTCAAACTCTTGGGCTTAGGTGATTCTCTTGCCTCAGCCTCCCAAGTAGCTAGGACTACGGGTGCCTGCCACACCCTCAGCCATTTTTTGTTGTAGTTGTCATTGTTGTTTAGCTGGCCCGGGCTGGGTTTGAACCTGCCAGCCTCAGTGTATGTGGCTAGCACTATGACCACTGTACTATGGGTGCAGAACCAGTAATTATCATATTATCAAAGCAAGACCACAGTTCAAAACATAAATATATATGCATAGGGGAAAAGATGAAGGACCACAACAATGGTGATTTTTTTTTAATAGCAGAATATGATTATTTCCTTTTTTCTGGTTTTTTTTTTTTTTTTTTT